AATGACGTATAAGTAAATATAAAAGTTGCAACAATGTCAAATGGTACAAAATTTCATATAGCACATAAAAGATGCGAAGCAATTAACCCACAAGTTTGCCCATAGCCTTTGCTGAATGTTACCTAAGTTTTAGAACGTCAAATAAAATTTCAGGAAAGTGTTGCCAATATAAAGGATGCCAAATTTTATTTTTTGATCTAATAAATCCCAAAACTTTAGGAGGCTATGTTTCTGGTGGCAAGAGCCTATCAATCACATTTCAGCATATAACCATAGAAGAAGAAAAGAAATTACCCTGACAATGAGCCTATCAATCACAACTTCATTTATAGGAGAACCAAAAGTGATGTTAAGAAAGCGTTTTCCCTGATCCTGAAATAGAAAATCCTGAAGTGGCAAACCATATCCAATAGTAAAAGAAGTTCTCCAACCACCAAACATTGGATATCTAGGTTCAATCTCCAGCTCAGTCTGAAAATTTAGAAAATAATTAAGAAAATAATCGGGTAGAAAATTGAGGTAATCATATTGCTAAAACAAAATTTTCACCTTCTTAGAATCGCCCCATAGATGAGATGTAGAGATGTTTCCAATTTCGTCCCTATAGTATACCGAATGAGTTCTTGGTGGTAGTTTTGCAACAAGATTTCTGAACGCTGAAGCCCCTCTTGCATAAGGTCTGGCTTGATAATCAAGCCTGCGGCAGAAATAAGCAAAAAAGTTACATGTCCTGATAGAACAAGAACTTTCAATAACTAGTGGAAAGAAGAAAGAAAACGAGGAAATACCTGGAAAATTCCCCTCTACTTTGAGCACCACCATGGACAAGATTATAATGCTCTGTTATTTGAATGCTGCCCCAGTGAGAAATCTCTACCTCACGGACAAGCTCTTGAGCAACAGGAAATGGACTATTGTTTTCAAAATGAAAGCGTATGGGTTTCACTGAATATGGGGGAAGATTCTCATAAGGACCATATTTGATCTCAGAACCATGAGTCTTCGTGTTTTCCAATTTTGTATAAGATTCAATTCTTGCTTCAGGCAATTTAACACTCAGTGACTGGACCTTGACAGAATAAGGAGACAAAAAGTATGCAGTGTCAAGAAACACTACAAACTGAACATCAGCCTGGGTGATTTTCTCTGGGAATGGATGCAACACATGGGTGAAAACAGCCAAGACATCAAAAGTCAAGCTTTCACCCTGGTTTAATCCCTTTGGTAGAGATACCGAGTAAAATTTCAATGCTGGAGGCGTTTCCTTGGGATAAACAACATCGACAGGGAAATTTATAGCAGATCCTTTGGCTTTACCTTTTCTTTCATTCAATGTTACTTGAATATGAGCCAAGTGTTTTGCTTGTTCCTCGGGAAAGGTTAACAATACTTCAGACACCACATCAGTCCCCTCATTTTCTACCTGGAACAGCATGAAGAAGTTACAAAAGCATAGATACTCAAACGCCCATTTCTTCCTTACACTGACTCATTATACAGCAACTCCTACATACTATTCTACAATGTGCCCCATCACAAAGAATGTGGCAATAACTGCGCCTTTCCAAGTTCATGTCAAGTTCAAGAACAATAAAAAGAAAATAGCAGCAAGAGATACGTACCCTTATAGTTGAAGATACGCGAACAATCTGAGAAGTCAAGTCAATCTGCAAGCGGGAAGAGAAATACAGTCAACGACACCATGCCAAGGTGAATAAATTACATCAAAAAATGGAATTTCAAAATCCGCAAGAGCAGCAACCATACAGAGTTCAAGAGAAAAAAAAAGTAAAAATTAGTGTTGATAATTAACAATTGAGAACTAAACCCTATCATAAAACCCAAATCTCTAAGCATTACTCAAACGAATGAAACAAAAGAAGAAATCTAATCCAATTGAGCAATTGAAATATGTATAAAAGATAATAACGAAGTCTTCCTGAGAAACTTACCCGGCGATCAACCTTGGAGAAGATCAGATCGGAAAATACAGGCGAAAGGATGAGAGCAACCGTGAAAAGAAACAGATCCAACTTGAATGCCATGTTAGGATTCGTCCTCAGTTGTAGGAAGGATGAACTCAAAGTGGATCAGGAAGAGATGGAAGCATAAGGCAGTGGCAATGTGGAGGAGTATAGTCGGAGTCTCTAACGAGTGAGGAACAACGCGACGACGACGACTCAGAGGAAAAGGAAATGGTTGGGAAAGTCGTAATTTTGGTGATAAAAAGGACTCGTGAAAGCTCAACTCTTCTCAAATCCGGTAATTGCTGAGGTAAAATAAAAAACAATAACTTAGGTTAAATTAATAAAAATATTTTTTAATTTTAAAAAATTCCTCTTAATTTTTAAAATTCCACATTAATATTTTATTTCAAAAATACTCCTAAATTTTTTTAAATAATTTAAAAAGTGTAATCAAATTTTCAAAATTTTCATTAATTTTTCAAAAAAACTTCAAAAAATATCTTTCAATTTCTTTTTAAAAAATTTAAAATATTTGCCTCGTGTCTACCTTCCTTCGGAGAACAGCGAGAAGGCTGACACATGGTCCGATGTCTATCTCTGATACCATTTGTAACAGCCCAGATCCACCGCTAATAGATATTGCCCTCTTTGAATTTTCCCTTTCGAGTTTCCCCCCAAAGCTTTAATTTAAAATGCGTTTGCTATGGAAGATTTCCATACCGTTATTAATGATGTTTTGTTCTTCTCTCCAACCAATGTGTGACATCACATATATGTTTATCTTATGCATTTAATACAACGATAAACTAAGTACACGTGTGGAAAGGAAATTGATGTGATCGCGCACTGACCAATCTGATAATAAGGACCAATCATAGCGTAAGAAAATATGAAGATCTAAGAGAAGATGAATAAACCCTCTTTTATGCTAGTCCAATTGAGGTGACCCCTTGCCTAATAAGGCTTGATGGCCACACATGAGCAGCCTGGCGTGCCCATCCGTGTTGCCACCCAACATACTCGCCACACACACACAGCCTATCCTAGCATGCACAAGCATACCACTATCGTCTAGCATCGTGCGCGTTCTAGCCACCGCATAACGGCATGCCAAATGACCATGCACAAGGCACTTCTGCTACTCATCGAACCATTAGTATACATATTGTTTGTTGTCTTGTAGAGTGTAGCTAAGATAATCAATAGTGTCTCTCGTTACAAATCTTAGCGTACACAAAGCAAACCAACAAGTGATACGTATATTATCTCTATCTACGATAATTAGTACTACAAATTTATTGACTTAACAAGTTTAGTGTATTTTATACTGGTAGGAAGTTTGTTCTCAATCATCACGATAGAGATATTTCGATTGGGGCTAGTCTTTAAAACCGAGTGACTCGTGAAGGCAAATTTTCAGTGACTTGGGCTGATGTAAGAGTGACGACTCTATTTCGATCTCGTTGTTGTGATTAGTTTCGTGTAGCTTCTCTACGGTCATCTGGTTCACCAGTACTACTACTGATTTTGAACCTTTCAAGGTTTGCTCCCCACTATAGTTGTTTGTACATATGACAGGACCCCTCAACTCCCGTAAGACATAGTAGTTCAATTGAAGTGAAAATGCTCGAACATCCTTAAATTTTCTTCGTTTACCGCGTACAAGATTAATGGATATCATAAATGTATAAAAAAATGAAGAAAATACATCAAATAATGTAGCAATAATACATCATTAAACCTTTATTTTATTGAATTTAGTTTTGATAATTGATGAATAATTAATTTAAAACTTTATTTCAACAAAAACCTACCCTACTAATATTAGATAATTAATATTTTTAGGCAAACATGCGCCAATGTTTCAAGTAAATGTTTTAAAGTTATTTTTATAATTAAAAGTATATATAAAATAATTAATTATATTACTATTTTTGTTCTCAAATTTTAGATATGCCTATAATTCTATAATCCTATAATTTAATTAATTGTTAAATTCTATATTTTATAATTAATTAATTTAAATATCGTCCTTTATTTAGGACCTATAATTATTTTAGGGTTTCAGCGTGTACCAAACCAACTCCGGAATCTGGATCCAGCTCAGGCAGCAGAGTAGTTGGGCTGGGCAGAAAGGGCCCACTCAATAAACCCATTAAAACTGGGCCCATAAGCCACCACCTAGGCCCACATTCCTTTAAATACGCCGCTCTCTTTTCCTTTCTTTTATTTATCTTTAATATCCATTTTTAAAAAAAAAAATTTAACCTCTCATTTGGATATGATCATATTTATTCACTCTTTATTTTACCTATGGTAAATAAAAGTAGTATAATAACCCTTTACGAGGAGGCCCCCTTCTTCCGAAGTTACGGGGCTATTTTACAGAGATAGAGAGTTGTCTCGCAACCCTAAGTATTCTCTACCTACCCACTTGTGTCGGTTTTGAGTACAGGTACCCTTTTGTTGAATGTCGTTCGAGCTTTTCCTGATAAGTAGGACATGAGTTACTTCAGCGCTATAGTGCCTGGTACTCGAACATTGGCTTGAGGTATTTTCTCGGCCACCTTGAGTCCTTGAACCAATAACCATCTTTTGACTAACTTAGTCTCCTCCGTCCTTCGGGACCAATAAAGGGTAGTATAGAAATATTCACCTGTTGTCTATCGAATACGCCTATCGGCCTGATCTTAGGCCCTGATACACCCTCAGTGGACTACGAACCAAAACAATCTTCCTTTGTTGAATAATTAAAATAGAAAACTTTAAAAGCTTTAAGGAATCAAAATAAACGGAAAATTAAAAAGCAAAACGCTTTTGTTTTTGTATTTATTTTATTTTATTTTTTGTTTTTCCCTTTCCTCTTTGAATTTATTTCTCCACAACAGCCAGTGGAGGCCACGCGCCGGATTAACGATCAAGTCGAATCTGACGGCTTGAAATTCAGGACTAGAGTAAGGTGAGAGTAAAGGCGTAGTAGAGGATCATACCCGACAAGAGAACAATAGAATTTAGAAGAGGAGAGATGAAGTTAATGATGATGGAGGCCCTCGTCTTCCTTGGGCGTTCTTTTTGAAGATCAAATGCTTCGTCGTTGCCTTTACTAATTTTTTCCAGAACTCTCACCAAACCCGAATTTCCTCCATTGTTACGCCTCAATTTTCTTCCACCAGCGTTTCTAATGTTTCCTTTCATTTCCTTTTGATTTGATTCGGTTCGGTTCCTGGATTGCTCTTCCCTGTAACGTTTCCCGTAATGTAAGTTACCTCTTTTCTTCTTTCTTGTTTTGTATCTCGCTTGTAGTGTATACCGGTCTTATTCTCTACGAAATGGCGGTTTCTGTTGTTTTTTGTTGTTGTTGTTGTTGTTGCTGTGTTTCAATTGTGTTGGGGTTTTGGCGGTTGTTGCTCTCCAGCGCTATGAATCTTGATCAGTTCTTCAGAAGTGTTTAATCTGTTGTAGCCACTGAATGTTGTGGATCTGGAGTGTGTTTTTTCCTCCTCTCTCTCCGGTATTAGAATATCTGAAATAACTGACTTACTGACTGACTGTTGGTAGTTCTGTCGAGATTTTGTTGTATGAATTTTTTAGTCTGTGTAGATCGTGGTTTTCATTTGTGTTTTTGTTCTGCGTTTTAGATTTCCATCGCTTTAATTGGTCCAACTCTGTGTTGTGAGGTTGAGTGAACAGTCACAACGAGGGAATTCGTGATTCTGTTCTTGGATGATTGTATGTGACTGCAGTTGTGAGTTCTTAAACCAGGAATTCACGGCTATTTGAAAGTTAGGGGGTTAGGTATCGGATTTTTTCCCCTTTTTTTCTCTTTGCTTATTTTGCAATTGAACCGTGGTACATTGTACAGGTACTTGAAGAAGTGAGTAAGGAATAGTGTTCTACTTTTGGTGTGCGGCTATGTGGTTTTTCGTGTGAGACAGTTCAGTCCTTCGAGTCTTGGGAAGTGTGTCTAAGTATGAATTTTGAACTATGGTTCATATGGTCATGGGAAGAGTGACTTTTACTTCAAAGATCTGGAGGGATGTTATCCAATACACAAGCTGAATTGGAATACATTCATCAAGATTTTGAGGCTTTAAGCATGTCAAAACGGCTCATGAGAAGCATGAGCCAGAAATTGAGGAAGAATCACAAAGGTGTTGCTGAGGAAGAGGATATTTCAAGGGGAATATCTTTGAGATGTCTTACATTATATGGTAGAGGTGGAGGTTGCAAAGTCGGTGCTGACACTGGTGAGGAAATTGGTGACCCAGGCAGTAGAAGGAGATCCAGTGCTAGTGACGAAGGTAAGGGGTACAAATTATTATTCAGTAATGAAGAAAATAGTGTGGATTGCTTCTCATATGGCGTAAAGGAGAGATTTCGTAAGAAACAAAGTCCAAAGTATTCTGAACTTCGAGATTCTACAAGAAACATTGATGTTCATATTTTTCTTCCTGATGACATTCTGGAAATATGCTTGATGAGGCTCCCACTCGTGAGTCTCATGAATGCTCGTCTTGTGTGCAAAAAATGGAGATACTTGACTAGCACTCCTCGGTTTTTACAGATGAGACGGGAATGTTTATATCAGACTCCATGGATATTTTTATTTGGTGCTGTTAAAGAGGGCTATTGCTCCAGCGAGATACATGCACTGGATGTATCTCTAAAGCAATGGCATAGAATAAATGCTGATGTTCTCAAGGGAAGATTTATGTTCTCTACAGCCAGTATCCAGGATGATATATATATCGTTGGTGGATGTTCTAGCTTGACCAACTTTGGGAAAATGGATAAGAGCTCATTCAGGACACATAAAGGGGTCTTAGTGTTTAGTCCTTTAACTAAATCTTGGCGCAAAATTGCGTCTATGAAGCATGCCAGATCAACGCCTATACTGGGAACTTCTGAGATCAACTCAGAATTTTCGATAGTTCAGAGCCAGCATAATTGGCAAGATAGACGTTATTTGAGATCACGTGCCGGTGGCTCTTTGGATGTTTATGAGGATCCACACAGACTCTCGCTTAGACTTCAAGTCAGAAATCCTGTGGAAGACAATACCGTTTCAATGTTGTCTAATAGGAAGTCATATAAGTTCATTCGACAAAAGAGTGATCAGTCTCGTGCAAAAGGACATCGTAGGTTTGTGATTATTGCTATTGGCGGTCGAGGATCTTGGGATGAGCCATTAGATTCTGGAGAGATTTACGATTCCTCATCAAATAAATGGACAGAAATTCAGAGGCTCCCTGTAGATTTCGGTATTATATGTTCTGGGGTTGTTTGCAATGGGATCTTCTATGTTTATTCTGATACAGACAGACTTGCGGGTTACGACATCGAAAGAGGCTTCTGGATTGGAATCCATACATCTCCATGCCCACCTCGTGTTCACGAGTACTACCCCAAACTAGTATCCTCTAACGGCCGGTTGTTCATGCTTTCTGTCTCGTGGTGTGAAGGGGATGGACAAATAGGGCAGAGAAACAAGGCTATCAGGAAACTGTGGGAGTTAGATCTCGTGTACCTTGCCTGGACAGAGGTATCAGTGCATCCCGATGCGCCAATGGACTGGAATGCTGCATTTGTTGCAGATAGAAACCTGATATTCGGGATCGAAATGTTTAAAATCTTCGGCCAGGTACTGGACTTTTTGACAGTGTGCGACATCTCGGACGCAGTATCAGACTGGAATCACATTTCAAGAACTCGTGTAACTCATGAAATGGATGCTTCTTCCTGCTTGACCAAATCAATGGCAGTCCTCCATCTCTAAGGTCCTTTCTTTCTAACTGCCTTTCCTTAACGCTCGAAGATATCTGAAATAACACTTTCTAATGTTGAAGATATGCGGTGCAATGCAAATATATTTCATATTTTGTATCAAATTTTTTTTGGATGCGATCAATTCATCTTAGTTTCTTCATCAGACATTCAGGGTCATATATTGCAGCACCCTACTGTGTGATTTTCTGTCAAATTATCTTCCTCGTAATTGATTTTATCTCTCTAATTTGGTGGTGTTGTTGTTTTAATATTTGACGAACTGAAGCTTTAGCATAATAAACTTACGGTGCCGATTGTCACCCCCATTGTCCAAATGTACTTTTGGGTCTTTGTGTCCTCTTTCTTCTCTACCAAATGCGCCCTACTGTGTGATTTTCTGTCAAAAAAATGTCATGCTTAGACGAAATATCAGTTTGAACATGGTTTAGTGTACACAGCAAATGTTGGAGGGCTTATGATGATAGTTCATCGACCCATTTAATTGCTATTGTATTGTATTACGAGTGGAATACAAAAATGGCATGATAGACTTTTTTAACGAAAATGGAAATGTCAGCAAGAACAGTCATTTGTTTGCCCCAGCATAGTGTAAGTTGCAGTATCAATCATATGATTAAATTTACCATTATCTATTTGTCAATAATGAATGATCATTTAATTTGATTGGTTGATGTATGAACTATGATTAACCATACACTAGTACTTCCAATCATTATCCTACCACTTCTAAAAAGCTGGACACTTGAACCATCCAAAATCTACCTCCATTGCTTTGGCTACAATCTCGTAAACCAGCAAAGATGTATGAACCATCCAAAATCTACCTCCATTGCTTTGGCTACAATCTCGTAAACCAGAAAAGATGTAATGATGAGCGAAGGCAACCGCGCACAAGCCATTGGACATGGGCACGTGTAGAACAAATAGGTCAGCTGTCACAATCGCACTCTTGTAATAGCGGGATAGCGACTATACGGCACTTGTCCTAACCAAGCAAAAAAGTCAGTCGCGAGAATTTGGGCATTTCGGATTACGAGTCATGTTGCGAGAAAATGTTCAATGCATTTGAAAATGGTTTGAAGAATTGAAAAAAAACAACTTTATATGACTATAAGTCACTCTTCCCTTATTCTAAGGGACAAAATATTCAAATTTTTTATTAAGAATCATTTAAACTAATAGGGTGAGTACAACTATTATCAAATCATATGCTCGTTTTTAGAAGGCACACAAGAATATTGTCTTTACTAATTATTGACGTCAATATTAAGGATGCAATAAAAGAGATCTTCAAAATATACTACATATTGATGAATACTAATGTATCACCAAGGACACTGAGATGTCTCTAAAAAAATCAACATTACTCATAAAAATCAATACGAAAAAATGAGAAAGTTTTTTTTTTTTTTTTTTCAACCAAGATTAAAATACTATCTGAAATTGTATAGTATCTTGAAGAACATGCGAAAATCAAATCGAGAGATAGAAACTCATCGGGGCAAGTACATCTTGAACCACTCTAAGAATGGAGTTTGATCCAAAGGTTCCAAACTTTGTTGTGTCAAATACTTCCCACCATGGAATTGTTGAAGTATTTCATGGATCCATCTTCGAAAATTCATTTAAATCTCTACGTGTATAGATCAATCTTGAAAAGTTTCACAACTAGATTCGAGGAAGAATCCTCGTAAAAAAAAAAAAGTGGAAAATGATATGAACCAAGCCATAAATCATGCAAGATAAACTTCATAAAATATGCGAAGAAAATGTTGTTAAAATTATCACAAGAGGTTGCAATTTATGCTAGTTTAAAGAAGAATCAATCTTAATTTATTCTTAGATTGTTACAAATTTTTTGTGGACGATAATTTAGAATTATTATGTTTTTTGTTAATGTATTTTAATGCTTTTATTTACTTTAAGTTACCGTGACTAATTATGGTCCTAAACTATGAATGTTAAATCTTAAAATGACTCAGGGAAGGTCAATGGTTTTCATTTTAGAACGGTATAAAACCATGTATGTTTTATTGTAAAGTAGACTTGGAAGATGCAGTGAAAGAGTATTTGAAGAATAAAATAATAGAATAAGCATCGGACTACTTCATGCAGGCCCCACTTGGCTCGGGAGGATATAGCTCAATTGGTAGAGCTATTCTCTTACAATTGGGTCGTAACGATTATGGGTTGGATGTCTAATTGTCGAAGCTGTAATGATAGTATCTTGTATCTGGACCAGTGACTCCTTTTTTTTTAAGTAATGGGAAAGAGGACCAAAACATGCCACGGAAAGACTCTACTGAGACAAAGATGGGTTGTCAAGAACGTAAAGTAGGTAGGATCGTACATGGACAGTAGTTGGAGTCGGTGGCTCTCTTAGGGTTCCCTCATATGGGATCCCTAGGGAAGAGGATCAAGTTGGCCCTTGTGAACAGCTTGATGCACTATCTCCCTTCCACCCGTTGAGCGAAAGGCTGCAAAAGGAAAGAAAATCTATGGACCAACCCCATCGACTCCACGGTCGGAACTATAAGGGATGATTAAGGTTCAAGCTTAACCGAATTGATTTTGGTGGTAAAATAATCCTTATCATTTTGAGGGGCTAGTTTTAGAATTACGTGAATCCTTCCCCATTTGCGCGCAAATAAACTGAATTTGCAACCTGCAAAACTTGGCAGCTCAGAATCATGGATTCCCTGTTCTCAACCACTACAATCTCTTCCATTCTGGTGAAACGAAATGGAGGAATTAGCTGCCAGATTCCGGTGGCTCATTTCCAGACCAACTCCAGAAGGCGACCACCAAAAAACCTCCTCTATCCACGGCGGACCAAGCTTCCCCCTGATCCCGGCGTCAATCAATTCTTGAAGAAACGAACCTCTGGCCCTCAGCCTGACACATCCTTCCCAGATTTGATTTCGAGCGAGAAAATCGGATTGCCGGAAGAAGAACTTGACGAGATTGAAGAAACCGCTGCGGATAACTATTTCGCCAATGATGATAACGACAGTGATGTTGTTTGGGATTCGGAAGAAATTGAAGCTATTACATCACTCTTCCGAGGGAGAATTCCTCAGAAACCTGGTAAATTGAACCGGGAGAGACCTCTTCCTCTCCCACTTCCTCACAAGCTACGACCACCAGGACTTCCTAACCCTAAAATTCGCCCAAGAACAGCGGTTTCTTCGCGTGCACTGATGTCTAAGCAAGTCTATAAACGCCCCGATTTTCTTATTGGACTTGCAAGAGCGATTAGAGATTTGAAACCGGAGGAGAATGTGTCCAAAGTTCTCAACAGGTGGGCACCATTTTTGCAGAAGGGGTCGCTGTCGTTAACGATCAAGGAACTAGGTCATATGGGTCTTGCTGATAGAGCTCTAAAGACGTTCTGTTGGGTACAAGAGCAACCTCGACTCTATCCAGATGATCGTGTTTTGGCCTCTACCGTTGAGGTCCTCGCAAGGAACCATGAACTTAAAATACCTTTCAACCTGGATGAGTTCACTAAACTTGCGAGTCGTGGTGTGCTCGAGGCAATGATGAGAGGGTTCATCAAAGGTGGGAGGTTAAGCCTTGCTTGGAAGCTTCTTGTAGCTGCCAAGAACGGTAAGAGAATGTTGGATCCTAGCGTTTATGTGAAGTTGATATTGGAGATTGGTAAGAACCCTGATAAAAACATGCTGGTACTTGCCTTACTAGATGAACTAGGACAAAGAGAAGCCTTGAATTTAAACCAGCAAGATACATCAGCTATCATTAAGGTCAGCACAAGGCTTGGTAAATTTGAAATTGCTGAAAGACTTTATAGCTGGTATGTTGAATCTGGGCATGAACCCAGTGTGGTTATGTACACTGCTTTAGTTCATAATCGCTATTCAGAGAGGAAGTATAGGGAGGCATTATCTGTAGTGTGGGAAATGGAGGCTGCAAACTCTCCTTTTGATCTTCCTGCTTATAGTGTAGTGATGAAGCTTTTTGTTGCTCTTGGGGATCTTTCAAGGGCTGTTAGATACTTTGCAAAGCTTAAGGAAGCTGGTTTTACCCCTACATATTGTATATATAGGAACTTGATTACCATTTATTTAGCTGCTGGCAGGTTAGCCAAGTGTAAGGAAATCTACAAGGAAGCAGAGAATGCTGGATATGTCATGGACAAACAAATTACCTCAATGTTGTTGCAAGCAAAAAGATGATACATTTCTAGTAAGAGATCTATAATTTTCAATCTTGTTTATACTTTGTGTCATTGGTTTGTACCATCGAATAATTATTAGACTTGTTTCAGAGTATTGCAATTTCATTGTCATTGCACTAGTCTGTTACTTGTCCTGGTGTTTTGAACCTCTCAACTTATTAAGAACGTGTTTGTGGGTGATTTTAAAACGAATAAAACCACTTCTATCACGTTTAAAACCACTCCAAAACATGTCTTCTACCATTCATTTTAATGTTTGATTTTATACTTTTAAACGTGATTCACATACCATGAAAATTGATTTAAACTCTTTCAAAATCACTTTCAAACAATGCCCTAAATGAGCTAATCTCTTTGTTCCCTCTCGATCTGCCACATTTAAATTGATGCTTCTGATTGCTTCGATGGCTGTGAGATAATTTGTTAGCTGGGAGCATAAATGTTTCTGTATAGAAAATTTCTTGGCTGCCATTTTCATTTATCCTTCCTTCTGGTTATACATGTAATCGCACCAAACAACTGCGTAGGCCCTATTACACTTGGTTGCTATGGAATCATGTGTAGGATATTGAATTCTAGGGAGGTTTGGTGCCATTTCCTCTTATTTTCTTTTTTCATTTGGCAGCATTGCATCATTGTATTTCAATAGTACATCTAAAAGTACAATTGAATTTTTGCTTCACCCCACATATTGTCTACATATCCTCTTCTGAACACTAACAAAATACATTATATACAAATTAAATGTTTCAAAAACAGTTCATTTTTTAAAAGCAAAATCCATCTTACCACAACATGGAAAACAGGTAACTAAGTACTGGAAAAGAAATAAATAAACAAAGGATACCAATTGTTGAGTATCAGCTGCGTTGAAGGAATGCTGGGTAGGATATACTATGATCAGCAACACAACCAGTTTAAAAACCAGAGACTTCACTGCTCTTGCCTGACCAATAATCAGTGGGTGCATTTATATGATTCCAATCAGGCAATTACGCCACCACATTAGATTTTATCTCTATCTAAGTCTTAAAATTTAGGTTTTGTTCCATCAAAGTTCTTAATTTCTTTTCTTCAGGAAAGTCAGCCATAACAAATCCAGCAGCCTGCTGTCTTTGATGGGATGCTCATAAAGTTATTAAGTTTAAAGTTATTTATTATTCATTATGTGAGTTAAATAATCCGTGTTTAGAGGGTTGAGTTATTTAGTTTGAGTAAAAAAAGTCTTATTTAGAGCGTATAGTTATTTAGTTCGGATTTAAAAAGTCTGATATATGTGCTTATGTTAACTATTTTTATTCTACTATACAATTAAAGCTACTCGTGGCTTCGTTCGTGATCGTGGGTAGTATTTAGACACCTAAGTACTTAATTTTTTAATTGATGTAGAATTTTTTAGTATTTGCTCAATCATTGTATCATAATGTGCAATGTGATTAACTTGATGTGTCATGTGTCCACTTTACTTTTTGTGGACATTCTTGCTTTCCAAGCTTTTTATTTGATATCCATTTTGAGTTATTCAACCCCTTCTAAAATCATATTTTTAAGTTATTTTTAATTAATTTAATATCGTCAAAATATTTGATATGATTGAAACTGTAGCACTACACGATCTCCATGCCAATGACATATTTTATATGCATAGCCTATCAAATTGTGACATGTTTTATATGATTAAAAAATATGTTGATCTCTCTTTCGTTCATGAGTTCAGAACATTATCGCAGATGAATTTCTTGTCTCGTCTCTTTGAATTTCTTGTCAAGTTCAGAACATTATCGCTCGCGTGCTTTTTTGGTCTAAACCCAGGTAGAAAATAGCAAATGTAACAAATTATGGAACAAAACAAATATAATTTTTATAACCAACTTAAAAGTAATTAACATGTATCATCGATGAAGATGACTTTAAAAATTAGAAATATAACATAATAAATTAGGGGACGGGTGGAGAAACGTTATTGGGCGGAGGGAATTTTGATTGATTTTGGAGGAAAATTGTGTATGATTTGTTACGCCAGCTTTACAATAATTGATTTGTTTAGAAAAGAAATTGAAAGGAGGAGCTTATGATGCAAATTTATATGATAAAGAAATGAAAGGAATTAATGTTGATTTAGGCTTAGAATTTGGAAAAACCTTAGGCCATTAACCAAGCCAATGAATGATTGCCAACCATCAAGTATATATTTTTTTCGGTTGCCATTATAATATATATAATATCATTTAGAATCTCTCTTATCGTGATGTAGGCCGACTCGGGAAGAATAAAAAAATAGTAAAGTTTTTCGATTTTTAAAATAAGCAGACTTTAAGTGTAAATATAAAAAGAAATAGCATACAAAAATAAGACCGAAATAGAAGTCATAAAATCGGTGGTGACTCTCAAACCTAGGTTGTCTCTCTATGACCACCTGTTTTAGACCGCTTGCATCCTCGACTAGCATCTAGTTGCTATCTAAAAGATAATGAAAATATGAGTGAGTATAAAAATACTTAGTAATCTGCTTGTAGGCTCTTGATCGTATTCGTGGCTGAAGTTAAGTTACCACACTCTGAACTTGACTATAATGCATACACATGAAGCTCTAAGTTTTGGGTTATGAGTTCAAAAGTCTTGATCAATATGTTGCTTGTCCTTGACTCATGCACTTGTGTGGTCGGGTTCTGAGTTCAAAAGTCTTGATCAATATGTTGCCTGTCCCCGACTCATGCAGTTGTGTGGTCCCTCACCCTAGGATAGGTTTAATGAGAGTGGATAGCCCATCTATCCACTTCTTTTTCCACACACAACACAGTGCATAACACTAGTTCTAATCCTATAGCACTCTCCTAAAAAGATGTACAAGATCACATGGTGGATAAAAAATATGAACGTGAAAGAACCCATGTTCGAGATATGGACTAGGATTCGAAATCTAGATTTGGCATATAACAACCCTGTCATTCCCCTAAATCTTTTGCGGCATAATCTGAGTTTGGCATCTTGCAAAACAATGCCTCCTATAAGAAATCCAAGCAAGTCATCCCACCTAAGTGAGGAAAACACAACATCGTGATGTACCATGTAAGTGGGAGGTCTAGACTGTCTTAGGGCAAGCAAGTTTGGGCAGAACGGTACTTAGCTATATGAGTATCATATAGGCTTAGGACTCCATTATAACGTCATTCTCGAGTCTAACTCCTTCATAATTTCATAATTAGATGTCCTATAAAATTAAGTAAACTTAATTGGGACATTTCCAAATGATTCCTACAAATATTTTTACACTTTAACTACAATTAATCCTCTAATGACCAATTTATTTATGATCAAACCAAAAACTATATCCCTCTTAAGTTAATAAGAGACCAAAGCTCGGTTATTCAAGTTCTAAAATCGACACTTATTTTTATAGAAAAGAGTGAATTTCATCTCGAAAGATTATGTTTCCGACTCCCTATTTAATTACTCAAAATGGCAGGCATATCGAACCAGCTACCATAGTCATTCTCACTTATACAAATAAATGGACAAGCCCTCGCGAACAGAAATTCTAACTTATTCCGAATTAAGATCAAGACGCATATAGTCATAAGTGAAATAATCTTCTTAATTAACAAATTTATAACGAGATTAAATATTTCATGATATAATTTTATGCAAACTCATTGTATAAGATACCAACTTTTAAATACGTCAATCTCATATTGTTTCAGCTTTCACGAATAACCTTTATTTTTTCATATAATAAATAATATTAAATTTTAAACAAAATATTCACAAAAATTATATCATTACGAGACTTTAGACTTAAATCTCAATATTATTGTCGTAGCCCAATTGACATCCTCCTTTTGCCTTTGCCTATGACTTCGAGTATAATCTCTAAGTAACTTTTGGGTATTACTACTCCTCCCGAAACTCAACCACTTCTTATTCTTCTTCTTCATCGAAGTTGACAAACACAATGGTTCCTAGGGGATTTGGCCGAGATCGGCATTCGTCTAGTCCTCACTCTTCTACATTGCCACCATCGGCGCTAAAAATCTCAACCTCAACAACACATCGTTGAAACACAACTAAATTCTTGTTAAGGCTCAAACCGATGCCATGAGAAAAGACTGGTTATTTCGTCCAAGCTCTCACTCACCAAATTTATCGGTTCAACCCATTGAAGCCCTTCGATTATTCATCGTCATACAACGATCTTCTCCATAAAGGTTTCTACGAATCTTGTTCGCATTTAAAATTATCCCATTTCACTATCAACAACTGATTCTTGAAACTCTTGGCATTGATCGTGATCGTTTATATCATCGATGCCAACCTTTATAGAGGCCCCTAAGAGTGGACGTTGATTCAATCGATGTTTTCATGAATTGGGATATATATATATATATATATATATATATATATATATATGCCCCAATGATGAAGTTGGATTGATATCCAAAATGATGATCCCATAATTTGTGGGCATAGGAGTAGGGCTAGGAATATGGAGATGTGTATTAAAAAAAGGGGAAGTTAGCATGTGAGTTGTATCTTAGTAGGCAATCAAAGCATATATTAATAAGAACTTGATTTCTTGAGAAGGCCATAAAGCTACTAGGAATCAACCCAACTTTATGTACAATTGTGGCCACTCAAGAGATTTGGATCTTTTTTTTCTTTTTCCTCAAGTATATATGCGTTAAATTCGAGTGTAGAAGAAATATATGAATGAACCGATATCATCACGTTTAAACGAGAGAGATACTAAGGATTTCTTGAAAGCGTATGAATAGGGACAAAATATGCTGAAAAAATTTGTATTGGTCTACGATAATAGTCTTAAATCTCAAAAGTAGTTTAGGATAAATAGACAATATGGGTCGAACCGGATGTAGATAAATATTGTGATGTCCCACATTAGTGGTGGAGGAAAACAAAAACACCATTTATAAGGGTGTGGAAATCTTCCCTTAGCATACGCGTTTTAAAGCCGTAAGGGTGAGTACGAGAGTAAAAACCCACCTCTTTTTTAAGAGTAAAAACTATTCTCAGAGACCAACACATGCCAGCATGTTTTGTTCTCATTCACATGTTTCTTAAGAAAAATCTTCAGACACCAACACATGTAAGAAAAATCTTT